GGGCAGCACAGCGCGCGAGTGAACGGTCGCGCGTTGCGTCCGAATATTGCGCTGTCGGGCATGTTTTCTCATGTGGGCCCAGCCAGAAACGTGCCCTCATTGCCCGTCCCCCATCTCCTGCGCAACGATACATGAGAAGCCTGGTCAGTTGAATCAGAGGAGCATGAAGTATTGATATTGATAGTTTTCCAGATTTCCAGGTTTTCCTGTTCTTCCGCTGGGGCTCCAGGGACGAATGGTCGAGCGCATTCTGTCGCGCAGGTTTTTTGCGTGATGTTCGCGGTGCGTTTTTCGCGCACCGGAGCGCCTTCGAAGATTTCAAGCTGCATGCTGTGTTGCTTTTGGGGAGTCCGCGAGTCGCAGCTGCCGTGGCGCTGTTTTCGAGGTAGCCCCTTCGAGTGCTGTTCGCGGGTGCAACGCGCGGCGCGCGCTGCGCCCAATCGCGCGCGGCGCGGCGCGTGAATCAGCCGGCCGCGCCCGTCGGACCGCCCGGACATTATTTCTGGATTGTAGAGTGTGTCAGAAAACGCTTCCGTTTTTTTTCCGCGCAAGCGGTTCCGGAATTTTTCAAAAAGAAGCCCGGAAATTTTCAAAAAAACAGTTTTGAGGGGTGGAATGCGCCCGCCGCGCAGGACATCTGAAGAGTTCCGAAATCCGGAAATTTTCAAAATTGATTCCGGAATTTTTCAAAATTGATCCCGGAAGTTTTCTAAAACAATCCCGGAAACATTCAACAAGTAGGCCGGACATGTTCAAACATGTTCCCAGATTTGTTCAATTTTACCCCCGGGGAACTTTCCAGAGTCGAGCATGCTTTGCCTTGCCAGGTCTTTGGGAATCCGCCGAGGCGCGCGGTGCGCGGCGGCGGGCGATGGGACGGTGCGCCACCGTCCCCTCCGCGCTCGGCAACGAGAGGGGGGGGTCAGCAATTGCCAAATAGCCCTTTTACGGGCGACCACTCGATTGCGAATGGCTGACTGACCAGCGGCGCCAGCCAGAGTAGACAAACTTCGACGCCAGGTGTACCCCGCGCGAAGGTTGTTAGAAATCCCAGAATTTCCGGAACGTATCAATAGCACGTTGTGTCAATAGATTCTTCCTGTCCTATTGAAGGCTGTCTCGTCGCACTTGTAGTTTGCTTGTGCTTCGCTGGCTTGGAAGTGGCTCGCGCGCCTGCGACGGCGAGGCGCAACGGTCTCGCTTGATCGCAAGATTCGAATCGGAGTTTATAGCATTGCCCCTGCTCTTCTTGCCTCGCATCGTCTCTCCCCACCGCTTCCGTTTATTGTTCGGGGGGCGCGGAGACTGCAGTATCCGAGCTCGAGCTACTCGCGTTCAATTCGCACGCCCACGTTTTTCCGCCCGCCGCAAAACAGCATGTGGATCCTGACCTTTTTACTGCTAGTCGACAGCCCCAGGCGCCCTGCCCGCAAAGATCTGGGCGCACCGGAATGCCCGACTCTGGCCGCTTCGCTTCGCTTCCTTCCCACTTTTCACGGTGGCGAAGGCGCAGGTGGCGCCCGACAGCCGACCGCCGGCCGGGCTCCCCCCCAAGGACGGCTGTGCCTTCCGCCAGCGCGCCGCCGAGGAGCTGGCTGCAGGGCGCGCGGAGGCGGCCAGAGGCCGCGTGCCTCGTCCGCGTGGCCGCCGCGTCCGCCGCCGCCAACGCGTACGTCGCCGTCGTCGTCGGCGGCGCCGCCGCCGCTTCGCCGCCGACTCCGCCGTCGTCGTCGTCGCCCCCGACGCCGCCGTCGTCGTCGTCGACGCGGCGTGCCGTTTTTTTCGTCGTCGCCGTCTTTGCCAGTGCCGCCGCCAAAGGCGTAGTCGTCGTCGCTGTCGCCATCGTCGTCGTCGCTGCCGCCGCCGCCGACGCCGCCGGCGTCGTCGTCGTCGTCGTCGTCGTCGCTGCCGTCGTCGTCGTTGTCGTCGTCGTCGGCGGCGGCGTCGTCGTCGCCACCGCCGCCGCCGCCGCCGCGGCCGTCGTCGTCGTCATCGTCGTCGTCGCATTCGTCGTCGTCGTCTTCGTATCGTTGTCGCCGCCACCGCCGCGGCCGCCGCCGCCGTCGTCTCCGTCGTCGTCGTCGTCGTCGTCGTCGTTTTCGTCGTCGTCTTCGTCGTCGTTGTCGGCGTTGTCGCCGCCGCTGCCGCTGCCGTGGTCGTTGGCGTCGTCGTCTCCGCCGCGGCCGTCGTCGTGGACGTCGTCGCTGCCGCCGCCACCCTCGCCGCCGTCGTCGTCGTCGTTTTCATCGTCTTCGTCGTTTTCGTCGTCGTCGTAGTCTTCGGCGTCGTCGTCGTCGTCGCCGCTGCCGCCGCCGCCGCGGCCGCCGTCGCCGCCGCCGCCGCTGTCGCCCCCGCCGCCGCTGCCGTCGCCGTCGTCGTCGTCGTCGTCGTCGTCGTGGTCGTGGTCGTGGTCGTCGTTGCCGTCGTCGTCGCCGCCGCCTCCGCCGTGTCGTGGACGTCGTCTTCGTCGTCATCGTTTCGTCGTCGTCGTCGCTGTCGTCGTCGTCATCGTCTTCGTCGTTGACGTAAACGTTTTCGCCGCCGTCGTCGTCGTGCCAGATCTCCGACAACATTGTTATTCTGATCTAGGCGTGCTTCCTCGGCCTCGGCCTCCACGTCCCCCCCTAGCGTGGGCCCAGGACCATCAAACGTGGATCCGAGGCGAAACATTGGCCTCGGGGGAGGGGTCGGGGACATATGACGCCGTGCATCGACCAGAAGATGTGGTCGGATGTCTGGATCGTCGTCGTCGTCCTCCTCCTCCTCTTCTTTGCCGCTGCCGCCGCCTGCGCCTCCGTGGTCGTCGTCGTTGGGGAGAAGGGTGGGTTGGGAAAGGGCATTTACGATAGCGATGATGATGATAGTGACGATGGTGATGATGATGGTGATGCTTATGCTGATGCTGCTGCTGCTGATGCTGATGATGATGATGATGATGATGATGAGGATGATGATGAGTGTGATGAGGGTGATGATGATGATGATGATGATGATGATGATGATGATGATGATGATGATGATGATAACCATGATGATGCTGATGATGACGATACTGATTGTGATGATGAGGATGATGATTATGATAATGACTCTATTGGCTTACGCCGCATCCGCTGACTTCTATATAAGGTACTGCGCCTCCAGGACTGCATTTCACGAGGCTTGTCCGAATCATGACACGGCGCTCGACATCGTTCCTGTTGCTTCGTTGCTGTTATCGTACCTCTTGGTGCTCTTTTGTGGCCTCTTGGTGGCATCTTGGCCTGTCTGCAGGCCATATCCGGCCGCCTCGAGGCATCTTGGGCCAAGTTTTGGGGCCTCTTTGGGGCTTCCTGGGGGTTTCTTGGAGGCCTTTGGGGGTCCCTCAGGGCCTCTTGGGCTGTTCTTGGGGCAGGCTGGGGGCGTCTTGGGGCCGAAGGCTCGAACAGGTGTCGTCTTGGGGCCGTCTGGGGGACCTCTTGGGCTGTCTTGGGGGCTTCGGGGGCTGTTGTTGGACCCTCTTCGACCCTTCTTGGGGGCCCCTTTGGCCGTCTGGGGGCGATATTGAAGGTTTTTTGGCCCGTCTGGGACATTGCGAAAACCGAATAGGCGAGCATGCGAACAATGCTTGTTTTTCGAAGGGAATGGGACGATTTTTGTTTCTTGAGGCTCTTTTGGGCCGCATCTTGGGGGCCTTTGGGGCGTCTTGGCAGCTTCGGAGGCCGCCTGGAGGCCATCGTGGGCGTCCAGGGCTATATTTCGGCGAATCGTGGCCCCCTGAGACCGTCTGGGGAGCCTTCTGGTGCCTTCATGGCCAGTTTTGGAACCCTCCGCTCCCCCGTGGCGCGTTCGGTCCGGGGTCGCCCGGGGCCGGGGGGGGGGGGGAGTCAAATCTGTGGTTTGGGGTCCCTTGGGGGGGGTTATGGGGGGGAACCATCTCACACGCCTAGAGACCTACAAGGGGTCGGCGGATTATGATGATGATGATGATGAGGATGCTTATACTTGTGATGAAGATGGTGATGATGATGTTGGTGGCGATGATGATGATGATGATGATGATGATGATGATGATGATGATGATGATGATGATGATGATGATGATGATGATGGTGATGATGATGATGATGCTGATGCTGATGCTGATGCTGATGCTGATGATTGTGATGGTGATGGTGATGCTCATGATGTTACTGATGATACTGATGGTCATCATGATGATGATGATGATGATGATGATGATGATGATGAATATGATGATGATGCTGATGCTGATGATGTTGATGATGCTGATGATGATGCTGATGATGCTGATGGTGATGATGATGATGCTGATGATGATGATGATGATGATGGTGATGATGAGGATGATGCTGCTGCTGATGATGATGATGCTGTTGATGATGAGGATGATGATTGTGATGGTGATGGTGATGGTGATGCTCATGATGTTACTGATGATACTGATGGTCATGATGATGATGCTGATGATGTTGATGATGCTGATGGTGATGTTGATGTTGCTGATGGTGATGATGATGATGATGCTGATGATGATGATGCTGATGATGATGATGCTGATGATGATGCTGCTGATGATGATGATGACACTGTTGATGATGATGATGATGATGATGATGATGATGATGATGATGATGATGATGATGATGATGATGGTGATGATGATGATGATGATGATGATGATGAGGAGGAGGAGGAGGAGGAGGAGGAGGAGGAGGAGGAGGAGGAGGAGGAGGAGGAGGATGATGATGATGATGATGATGATGATGACGACGACAAGGATGAGGGTGCTGAGGGTGCTGACTAAATCGAACGGGTCGGGACCCGAACGCTCGGCGATACGGCCGCGGACGCCGCCCGCGCCCCAGGGGGATAGCTGCACCCTAGGGCCTTTCAGCGGAGCGGACGGGCGGGCCCACGGGGCCCCAGACACCCAGGAGGGGCCGAGAGGAGGCCCGCTGAAAGAACGACCCCCCCGAGCACAGCCACCCCCCCGAGGCCTATACCTGACGGGTCGGACCAGGAGGCCAGTCCGACCCGCAACACCTTGAGGAATTCCCCGACCTTGCAGCCGAAGATGCTCACAACCACATTCAGGAAGAACACTGGCACGAAGAATTGGTGGCCGACGCCGACGAAAAGCCAGCACTGCCAGAAGATGCACGGCGCCTGGGCGAACTTCAGGAGCCCGCTAAAAGCAGCGCCAATTCAAGAGTGTTCAACTCTGAGCCTGGTCCAGACCCTTCAGGACGGTGTCAAAGCACTCGCGGTCGAGAATGCCCTGCTTCACAAGCTGGACCGCCATGCACTTGATCTCGTCCAGGGTCGTTGGGGGCGAGGTCGCGCCTGGTGGCGAAGCCGCCGACGAACTGCCAGCAGGCCCACCAGGAGCTGTCACCTCCTTCGGATCCTTCTTGTTCTTTTTCTTCTTTTTGGTCTTGACCTGCCGGAAACTTGCGCCAGAAGCCACGCCAGCCTCCACCTCCGAGTCGCTGATCGCAGGCGTGCCAATGTAGAACTTCTCGCTCTTGTCCAGCTTGCCGGAGCTGCCGCAGTCGCCATCTGAACCGTCGCCCCCGCCCTTCACGGGACCCCCTCCAAGGTCAGCGCACCCTTGGGCTGCTCGAGGCTCTGGGGGAGAGACGTCCGCGACCAGCGATTCTTGCGCTTCCAGCGCAGGATGTCCCAGGCGTTGGAGCTCTCCGACGACGGGCTGGGAGAGACGGCCTTGCGCTTGCGGTCCTTGCTCACCTTCTGGTCCGAGACGGCCTTGCGGTCCTTCTCGGTCTTCTCCTTCACGACCTGCTTGGTCTTCCCCTTCACGTCCGAGGCGCCCTCGCGCACGTGGCCCTTCTCTGTCTGGGACACTTTCAGGTCCGAGACGGCCTTGCGCATGAGGTCCTTCTCGGTCTTCCACTTCGCGTCCTGCTGCGCGGACTCCTGGGTCACCTCGCGCTCCGCCTCCAGGAACGGGTTGGCAATCCAGAGGCCATCCTGCCGCCTTGTCCGTCGTGGAGGTGTCAAGCCCCTGGGAGGCGAGGAAGGCCCCCTCAAGAGCTCCTTCTCCTTGACGGCCTGGTTCCGCTTCCTGACCTCGATCTTCTTCCGCGCGGCGATCTGCTCCGCCGAGTGCATCGGCGGCTGGATCCCCTTGGGCTGCGAAGGCCTCCTCTTGGGTAGCGGATCGTACCCAAGGCCGAGCTCCGCTGTCGAGCGTGAGGCCATACTCCTTGCAGGCGACAACGTCCACCTGCACCTTGTCCTGCCACAGGCCGGCCTTCTCCAGGAAGCCGCGCACGAGGTGGCCGGTCTCGGGAAGCGACACCTCCGCAATGTAGAAGCAGAAGTGCGGCGGCATCAAGCAGCGGCCATGGCTCGGGGCGGCTGCGCCCCTTTCAAGTGCGCCGCCCTCAAGGGCACCCTCCTGGCCCGAAAGGGGCTACGACAACGACAAGGATGAGGAGGATGAGGAGGAGGAGGAGGAGGAGGAGGAGGAGGAGGAGGAGGAGGAGGAGGAGAAGGAGGAGGAGGAGAGCGGGAAGAGGAACCCGAGGATGATTGGGACTGGTGGGTGAGAGAGGTTGGGTGGGAGATGGAGGAGAGGTGGGATAAGGGGATAGATAAGAAGAGGGATAGGAGCAGTGGGGAAGAGGAGAGGAGGGTTTAGAGTATCAGAGGAGGGGTAAAGGTGAATCGGGGGGGAGGAGGAAGAGGAGGAGGAGGAGGAGGAGGAGGAGGAGGAGGAGGAGGAGGAGGAGGAGGAGCAGGAGCAGGAGCAGGAGGAGCAGGAGGAGCAGGAGGAGGAGGAGGAGGAGGAGGAGGAGGAGGCGGAGGAGGAGGAGGAGGAGGAGGAGGGGGGAGTGGATGAAGAGGTTGAGCACTGGTGGCGAGGGTGGTCGAGGGCGTTTTCGGCGATGTTGTTACTGGCGATGATTCAGATTGTTGCTATTTGTATATAGCGACATGTTGCTACTTGTATCTAACGAGAAGTTTCTCGCGGATGTTGCCCGGGCAGCCAGCCAGTAGTGGCGCGATATTCGTTTCCTGTTAAAATCAGTGGTTCGCCCGCTCCTCACACCAGTTCCAGCGTTCAATTTCCGTTGCGTTGCCCGACGTGCCCGCCGTGCGACCTGCACTGCGCGGCGCCGCAGTTCCCGCTGATCGTTGACGCCGTGATTTGCGGCCTGGACGAGTGCGAGCGAGGCGTCTCGAGCCTGCTCAATTTCGCCTACTCGGCTTGCTCAGTCTGTTGCTCTCACTGTCGTGATGGCGCCCGTGGCGGCCGACGCGGCCGGCAGGGCGTTCTGGAACCGCCTCTACCAGGTCAGGGAGTATCGGGGCACGAGGGAGTTGAAACGCCTAGTCACCGAGGCAAGGAAAGAGGCCTTGGCAAAGACCGACGACGCCGCCCTGCCAATCGTGGAGTATTATTTCTCCCAGTGGGCGTGAGAGGCCCATCGACGCGCTGATCGACGCTGGACACGCTGCGGCTGGCGCTGACCCTGGATCCAGGGTGGCCGATGGGGCCGACGCGCCCGCTGCGGCCGCGAGGCTGTCGCCCCTTCCTGGCGGCCTGGAGGTGGCCACCACCGCGATACCGCCCCCCGCGGGCACCGCGTGGACCGTGGTGTGCCTGTCCGTGAGCGGGGCGCTGCTCGTCGAGGTGGTCGCGTTGGAGGCCGGCGACCTGGCGTTTTCAGGCGGAGGCCTCTTCAAAGGGCTGGCGCGGGACGGGGTCGGGCGGGGCCACCGAGCGGGCGCAATTACGGCCAAGGTCGGTGGCGACAGGCCGGGGGGACCGCCGCCACTCCTCCCGCTCGCTGCTCCCCCTGAGGACGCGGTGCGCAAGGCCGCTGCCGGCGCGGCTGCCCCACGAGCTGCGGGTGGCCCGAGCGAGTTCATTGCCCGGCTCAGCGGGCATGCCCGCGAGAGTTCGGGGATCGGCACGGGCGGCGGCAACAAGGGTGATGCGCGGACCATGGCGGGGGCCGAGCTGTCGAAGCACTCGTTCTCGGACTGGCCTTCGGTCGCGCCGCCGATCGCCGTCCAGTTCTGCGCCCGCGTTGAGTGGGCGGGCCGCGCCCCGTCCGGCTGGCTGGACAAGTGGGCGCAGAGCAAGGACATCGCGGTCACGGACAAGGTTAGGGTGAATTTCAGACCGTGGCAGGTGCGTTTGAATACGCCAGATGCTGCGACTAGGTGGACCTCGGGTCCTTGGTCTTTGCCGAACTCCTCTGCCTGCGAGCGCAGGCGATCGTTGACGCTTGCGGGAGCAGTCTCATCAAGCCTAGCTTCGAACGCGGGAAGTATTTTTCGGGGCTGAGGTGCCTGTCCGACGCAGATTCTCCAGACCTGATGGTTCTGCCGCGCGCAAGACCGATGGGGGGGTGCAAAGTTGAGAAGCAGCAACAGATGGCCCCACTTTTTCGAGATGCAGTCGTCGGCCAAGGCGATGGGTCTGGGTTCGCTACAGGCAGGAAGTGGCGCCCGCCACCCAGGCTAGGCGCGCGCAGCTGGCCTGCGTCGTATTCATACCCGGTCTTCCCAGGGAAGATGCCCCTCGCGCCGCTGAGACAGCGAGTGGGGGATTGGCGCGCGCGCTGGGCAATGGGGCCAACGAAGCTTTGCGGGTTCCGCATTGGACGCCCAGGTGCAGCGGCCACCCAGGAGTCCGTCGAGCGCCTGATGCTGCGGTTCGGGCACGTGGCGTGGTCCACGCGATGGTTAGTAAGGAAAACGTCACCGGGCAAGCCCCCGCGCGCGTGGCCCCGCCAGAGGAATCCGCGCGCTCGTTTACCCGCGCGGAGTCGGTCAGCGGCGATGTGGCGCCTGACAGCGTCGCCGTGCGATTGCGAGGAGGGCAAGGCGCCCCTGTTCGACGTCTTCTGCTGCGGGATGCACGGGGGCCTGATCGGCGAGGCGCGCGCCCGCTTTTCGCGCGATAGGACAGTCGAACGGCGTCGGCCGGATTCCGATGGGGGTTGATCAGCGGGCCTGGCCTTTCTTGAGAGCTGTTGTGCTGCGCGCGGACCGCTGACCGGAGTCGCGCCGTCGGGCTTGCCGGCGCTTCGCGCCCCAGCTCGGCCGGGGCCGAAACGCTCATTTGTTGGGCCGATACATTTCGAGTTTTTTTCGCGGCGAAGATTAGCGGGGCGTAGTGGCATATCGCAGGTGCCAGACCAGCCAGCCGGCCGTTGACGCCCATGCCTGGCGCCCAGCTACGCACCGCTGAAGGACTCGGCGGAGTTTACCCGGCGCAAACCGACGTCGCGGACTGCCACCGCAGGCTCAGAGGGCGCGATGACTTGGCCGAGTTCTCCGCGCCGCCTCAGCTGACGCCGAGGGCGGCTGGGTCCGAGGTGAGCGGGCCTCTGTGTGAACTTGCGGGGCATTTAGATTTGCCCCCCCCTGGTCTCGCGGCGCTGAGCATCGCTGATCCTGTAGCCCCCTCTTCGCGGCGGAGAGTATTTTCCGCCCACTATCAAGCTGAATGGACTTGTTCTGGGGGTTGTTACTCCAGCGGAATAATCTATTGCGAGCAACCTGCACGCGGGGTGGTTTGTGGGCATCTCTCCATGGAGCTCGCAGTGAGAATTGCATATTTTCTGGTTTGCGAATTAGCTCAAACTCGTTTGCCGAGAACTCCCTGCAGGGCGCCTGCCGTCGCCCGGCCGGCGCTCGCGGCGACGTGGGGCCCGTTAGCTTTTACTGTTGGGCGGGCTGAAAATCTTCGGGGGGCGTTCCTCCGGCGGAATAGTCTTTTGCTGGCTACCCTGCGCGCGGGAGGAGTTCTCGTGGGGACTGCAAGAGGAGTATCATCGCTTTGATTCTCGAGTTGGCTCGTCTGCCTTGCTCTGGCGGCGAGATTCCTGCCGGCGCCGGCGCGGCGACGTGGGAGTGGTTTCCATTTATTGTTGGGCGGGTGGGGTTATGTTTGCGGGTTATTCCGCGATTAGAATAACCGATTGCGGGCTACCCCGCGCGCGGGGGGATTCGCGGGCATCTTCTCGTGAGAACTGCAGTGCGCGTGCGATGTAGTTTGATTTGCGAATTTCCTCATGCTCGCCTGCCTAGCACTGTCGGTGGGATTCGTGCTGACGCTCGGTCGGCGCGCGCAGCGACTTGGGATTCGCCTCCGTCTGTCGCATGGCGGTCTGGAAAATGTTTGGGGATTCTTTTCCCCGCGGAAGAATCTCTTGCGGGCTGCCCTGCGCGCGGGGGGGAGTTGTGGGCAACCTCTCATGTGGACTGCAAGAAGAATATCTTCGCTGTGATTCGCGAGTTGAGTCAAACTCGCTCGCCTCGTGCTGCCGGCAAAACTCCTGCCGCCGCCTGGTCGGCGCTCGCGGCGACGTGGGATATGTTGTTTTCGATGCGTTGGGTGGTTTGGGCAACGCTTGGGGGCTATTCCTCCAACGGAATAATCTATTATGGGCCGCCCGCCCCGCGCGCGGGGGGATGCGCGGGGTGCAGTGCTGCGTCCATTTTCTCGCGCGTGCTGCAGTGCGCGCGCGGTGCAGCTTGATTTGCGAGTTTTCCCGAGCTCGCCTGCCTAGCGCTGTTGGTAGATCTCCTGCCGGCGCCCGCTCGGGGCGCGCGGCGATTTGGGGCTAGCTTCCGTCGTCCTCTGGCGGGCTGGATTATGTTCGGGAGTCATTTCGCCAGCGGAATAATGCGCCATGGGCTACCCTGCGCGCGGAAGGAGTTCTGTGCACCTTCTATTCAGGCTTGCAATGTGAATCGTTTCGCTGTGGTGTGCGAGTTCAGTCAAAATCGCTTGCCGAGCACTGCCGACAGAACGCCTGCCGGCGCTTGGTCGGCGCGCGCGGCGACGCGGGATTTGTTTCAGTTTATTGTTCGGCGGGCTGGTATTTAATGCGCGTGCGTGTGTGCGTGGGGGGCATCTCCGGCGGAATTATCCGCCGCGGGCCATTCTGCGCCCGAGGGGGGGGGTGTGGGGATCTCCGCGCGCGGGTTGCAAGGGAGGGTGTTTCTTTTGGTGCTCGAGTTTGCTCGTGGTCGTCTGCGCGGCGCCGTCGGCGGGGCCCCGCTGGCGCCTGGTCGGCTTGCGTGGCCAGCGAGGCGACTTTTCCAGTGTGGGCGACGCAGAATTCGCCATCGCTGTGCATTGCCCACGCGGCAGAGGATGGCTTTTCTGATGGCCCGTGCGGGGCCTGGGCTTCAACAGTTGATCTAAGGGTGGAGCTTCCAGGATGCAGCCTCTGAGCGGGCCCCGAGGAGATCTCGGGCCGTTCTGCGCCGTTTTCCCGATGGGCTGTAGCCGGGGGCCCGCGGCGGCGCTGGCGATCAATCCGCGCCTCGCCGTCCTGGCTCCGAGCCCAGGGCGGCTGCCGCCCC